AACTGAAATTTACTTTTACAATGAATTTTATATAGCCTTGCTTTTCCAAAAGATATTCTTATCCAGGCAGGACTGAACTGCAATTTAGACCTCTTCTAGGTGATAGCAACATCCCCAGCGGGAGTCGAACTATGACATTGCAGCGTTGAATCTTGAAAAGTTATACATTACGCCACATTGTTACGAGTTCCCTTTGGCTAGAAGGCATATATGCACTTCAAAGAAGGTGAAGCATTTTCCCATATCACATTCTTTGGTAGGAGTGTTGATGAAGCAAATTGTATTTGCTACAGGAATCGACTACGTTAGATTACTGGTATTCTCGAAAACCTACATAGAAACGAAACATAAGTAACGTAGTTGATTGCTATAGCAAATAGAACGTTGCTTAATCGGCAATCCCACTACAGCATGTGATATGGAAAATGCCTGGCCTGCTTATACAATCACATCTGCTTGTGACACATGAGCATTTATGGCAATTTGGCATAATAATTAATGTGTCGAGAGTATACGATGCAGCTTCATTGTTTAAGTCCCACTGTGGTTGCTGATGAAACCTAAGCGAGGTAAAAACTGCATTCCACCCTGTATAAGAATAACTTTTGATAACCCAAGGCTATGTGAAATTCAAAAAACTCAAACTCTACTTGTATCATTGGGAGGAAGTTCAACTAGCAGTCCCCTTATCACTTTAGACGTAGTGAAATGAATACGGTTTATATAAAAATGATCTACAGGTATTCGCGAAAACCTACATTAATGTTTAAAGATTATTCATTAAATGATAATAAAATCCCAAATCACAGGGTACCTAGAGGTCTACACATAAGCTCTTTTGATACTTGTTCATCATTATCACTTTATGCCACGGAAGATTCGATTTCAGGCCAGATTTTATATCTTTTTAATTTGGCTTCGTCGATCTTTTAGGGTTGTGTTGGAGGAAACTTTCATGTTTTGATGATCTTTCTTTTTAAAGATGATTCATTGGCTCTGAGGGCTGTGATAAGCTCAAAAGCATACTAGAAACTGAAAAACGCTTCCCTCGAGTAAATGCGAAGAAATGTTGGGTTTCGAGGAATCTCTTGTTTCATAATTGTTGAGCTCACTTACGTTTTGAGTAAAAGTGTCTAGCGAAGATTTTCGACGGTCGATCCCACCAGAAGACGATGGCTGATTCCTATTGACCAGCTGTCGTTTGGCTTTACTGGAACATTCTTGTTGACGCTGTTTCCGAGGTAATCTCCTTCGATTCCGGTGAAAAGATGCTAAGCTTTCGTCCGTCATATGATGGACATCATCAGAGCGAGTTAACATCGTCAAAACAAAATTTAACCTAGCGAGTCAAGAAAACTAACCGGTAAATCCTCATTTGCTTGTCTTGTTAGCTTGAATTTTGTTGTGACCATGTTACCTCGCTCTGATGATGTCCGTCATATGACGGACAAAAGCTTAGCACGTTTTCACCGGAATCGAA